TTTCAAGTGCTATAATTTCTGACTCAGTGGACGGATATGGCTCAAATTTCGTATGTATGCCTTGAAAGGATGGTACTTTCCAGAAACATAATGGATTTTGTTATGGTAGCGCCCTTTCTTAGAAACGATACGAACTTTTCAGCCCGCCTGTTAATATGCTGTTTTTATTCTAGAGAATTCATTTGTTTTTATTTATTCGTAGCTTTCGTAATAAAGTCACAAAAAAAATATTTTGAACATTAAACTACAAAATGTATAACCATTCCTAGCGCCAGGAACTCGCAAACTTTTTTTATTCATCTTATAAATGAAATACTATGTTAAAGTCTTATCATTTATCATAATAGTAAAGAAACAACAAAACATTCGGTACAATTTATACATCTATTTGATGATTTTAATCCACACAAACTGAATATAGTGAATGAATTGTAAAACAATTGTAATTTTTTATGAATCTGCTATTATTATCTTTTTATTGACAACAAATGTTACACTTTTACGAATTAAATATTCTCAGATGCGCATTTCTTCAGTCAAATGATAATAATAATTCATGAATCTATTGTGCCAATTTATGATATGATAAATAGCCGTTCTTATCGCAGGTATAACTTTATTATAGACTTTAAATTGTGAATCTTTTTTCTTCATATTTGTTTGATTTTTAATTGATATCACCAGTTATTTTTTGTCATAATTTTTGGCGGTAAGTGCGAAAAACTTGATTGCATTTGATAATGGACTTCTTATGGCGATTCCAGCTATCATAATTCCAACACTCACTGGAATTTTCAATGAACATAACCGAAATGAGCTCATAACGATAACAGCCGTTCAAACATCTTGGTTCGGTGAGTAAACTGTTTTAATTTCTTTTGAATTGTTTTGAATTTTTCGATCGAAATGAGCGAATTATTTTTTTTATTTTTAATAGGAGCTATTGGAGTTTTTACCAAACCGATTGGAAGTTTAGTATCAGGAATAATTACAGGTAACTTTAAACTTAATTAACATGTTGGCATTTGTTGAACCTAAAACCAAAATACATTCACAAAATACAGATCAATGGGGTTCGGAAACGGGTGATGATTTTTCTGAATATTTTTTATGCAATTGGATGGTACACACTTTATCGATCTAGTACCGTTTGGCAAGTATTTGCTGGAGCCGCAGAAGGTATGTAAATGTTTTGATGCAATAATTTCAAATTTGAAACTTTCGTTATGGCCATAACATTTCGAATTTTCTTTTTCACGTAATCGCCTCTGTTGCGAACTCTGGTAATTAGGTGAAATTAGTTGAGAATTGGTGTCTCAAATTCAGACATGCGCACAGTTTTTTCCATCAGGAGAGGTGGAAATAGAGAATTATTTTCAGAGTAAAATCGTTAATTTTATCCGGGGGTCAATTCGAGAAAAAAAATCTCCAGGAGGGAGTTAAACCGGAATTCTCCCGGCGCGAATGTGTCCTCAGATTCATTGATTCAATCCAATTGAATATGAATTTTCATATCAATTAACGAAAAAAATATATTTCTCAGAACCTTCATTTCGAGGTGTTTTCGCTGGTTGATATAGTTTATGAAATGCAATTTTTTATGTAAAAATATCCACAATGTGGATTACACATTGTATAAAACAAATTTTATGATTAAGTTACACAATGTGGTTTCTTTCATTAGTCTTTATATTTTTGGTTAGTTGCACGGGAAAACGGCCACAACATTTATTCGCTATTGTAGCTGTATAATGTTGTAACGTTAGCCTTACTTGGTTCGGATTCACCTATTTATCTGCGGGATATATTTTTTTCGATCAAGCACATCGTGAACCATTTTATTTAGAAAACAACACTCTTGGATACATTCCGTTGGTTTTCTTTAATCATATGGTCTTTTTGTGGATCCTTGAATTGAAATCGAAAGAGAACGAATGAGTGAGCTCTGTATTAATTCATTGGACTTCTCCAAGATTTTACAATTTAAGTGAGTTTTTCTTTAATACTTTAATAGTACTAACCGTCACTTATTCTATGATTATTATTTTTTAATTTTGTACTCATTTGAGTTCGGATCTCATGTGTTGATTTTAGTGTTAGTCATTCTTCTGATATAATTTTTCCAATAAACTAAATTTAGGTTGAGCAAATTATTTCATTCAAAAGATATGTGGACATTCACGAAATGGAACTAAAATTGCGTTATACATGTATCTTTATCTAACTAATATTTTGGGTCAAAAATTCAAATGGTAATGCCAAAACACAAATCTACTCCACTTTATCTTCACAATCGTTTACATGCACCTCTTTCCTTTCAACACATTTGTTTTTATCTTATCTATTTTCTGTCTATATTATTACCCGGCAATAATTCATTCAATTGTATTTACGCTATAAAATATGCCGCAATTGTACTTGCCGTGTGTGTATGTTTCCTTACCGATTTATTATCATTTCAATTACGCATACACATATTGTATGCCGTCAGACAATACGTTCATAATATAAACACTTTTCGCGATAATTACAATGAAAGAAGAACAATGTGAAGAGAAAATTGCGATTTTTTTTTATTCTGTCATAGATAATATTTTCGAAATTCCAACCAATTGATAAAGAAGAAAATAATACAAAGACGCATCGTATTCACACATTAAAGTGATTCAATGCTAAGAACGAATTTATTCGATTTCCTTTTGGGTGTTTTGTTTAATTGTGAGTAAGACGTGACTGTCAGTTCATATTTGTGGTTGCAATGGTGCGATTTGATTGATATCGTGCATATTCATTGAAAATTAGTAACGGACATCCAGAACAAAAAAAGTATATATATGAACAAATTTGACCATGAGATAGAAACCTGTGATTAGATTTTGATTGCAAAAATTTGATTTGAATTGATTGTGTGCCGTTTTTAGAACAATTTGGCGGACTGTGATTCAACGATCGTGATTCAACCACTTTATCTATCTCACACACATTATCACAGATCAAGTGATTTCAGTGAATTCAACTGACACACTTAGAATCGGACTTAATTTCCAGTAGAGAAAAATCATTTAAAAAATGGATTTGGACGTGGGTATCGACTTGCAGCTGCAAATTTTCATTTTGGCCGCCGTATTTGTTTTCATTTTATTTGTGATTGTTTGTTTTTTGGCCGGAATTTGCGGTCAATTAACAAAAATTAAGAAAATCCAACGAAAACTCATTCAAGATGCCAATAATCATCCAACGTAAGCTGACGTAATTATAAAAGAAATGGCAAACCCAACCCCACACACATACACACAATTTTTAATTTGTTTTTTAATTTTAAATTTTAGTGGTTACGATAATTATGCATATAGCTCACGCAATATTCAACCCGATGAAGAGCTATCACGTCGTGGATACACAATGTACGATCCATATAGAAACAATAATAATCAAACATCGAATGTGTGAGTTTTGCCATAAATATATGGCAGACATTTTCCTTTCGTTAGCTTATCTCCAAAAAAAAATCTCTTCACAATATATTTATATCGCTGTTAATTGCTTCACTCTTAATTTTCGCATATACCTATCCTACCAAAGTAAAAAAATGTCCCATTATTCTGAGCTCGATCCATTCTTTGTAGTCATCAAAATTCAAACAACAACAACAACAACAACAGTGGCAGCCTCAATCGATTCACGAAGACGAAACACATCATGCAACAAAGTAATTTGGTCGAAATGAGTGTGGCAGACGATGTAGAAAGTCGAGATGAAGCCGAATATGCAATTGCAAATGCCGAAACAATTGTTATGACCGGCAATGATGTTGAAATGAAGATAAAAACAAACTATCCACCAGAGTTTAAGGGCGTTCCGCCACCACCCGCATTTGCAAATCGCTTTGACATTGAGGAAAATCCAACCACCACCAAATCAGAAGAACAAAAATAAACTCAATCGATCAAATTTAGTTTAGTTGCGGCAAGATGATGAGGATCCATATTTTAAATCAGCCATTTGTTTCATGAAAATATTTCATGTATATTTTTATTGAAAATCAAGATATAAATTTCTATATTCGAAAAAGTAAAAAGGTGTTGTTAATTGATAAAAACCAAAAGTCATATGATCAGCATATATTTAAATGCGAATAAAACTCAAATAATCACGAGCTTCCAATCATGTTATCATTCATTTTCACTAGATGTCATCACATACACCGACCGTTCTCCACACACGGCAATTCTACATCATCGACGATGTGAAAAGCATTTGTGACACATGAAACGTCATTTAATTTCCTCGTTTCAGATCATTTACACATAAATTCTGAGCAATTGTTTATACAAAACAAAAGGCTACTTTCAAAGCATATTTTTTTATTTATTCGTTCAATTTACATCAAGAAATATTATTAATTTTGATTTGCTTCATCGTGTGTTTAACGTTTGTAATCGTTCTTGGTTCAGCAGTAATAAAAAGTAACAAAAAATGGGTCGCGCCGAAGTGGGAACGCCAAAATATTTGGCCAATAAAATGAAGGCAAAAGGTTTGCAAAAATTGCGATGGTATTGTCAGATGTGTCAAAAACAATGTCGTGATGAAAACGGCTTCAAATGCCATACACAAAGCGAATCACATCAACGTCAACTATTGCTATTTGCTGACAATTCCAATAAATATATCTACAGTTTTTCAAAGGAATTCTCTGACGGTTATGTGGAATTGTTGCGTCGTCGTTTCGGGACGAAACGTGTTGCCGCCAATAAAGTGTATCAAGAATATATTGCCGATAAGGATCATTTGCACATGAATGCCACCAAATGGCTTACATTGGGTGATTATGTTAAACATTTGGGGCGTGAAGGTGTTTGTGCAGTGGATGAAACGGAAAAAGGCTGGTTTGTAACATACATTGATCGAAGCCCGGAAGTATTGGAGCGTCAAGCAAAAGCGGCCCGCAAAGAAAAACAAGATAAAGACGATGCCGATCGACACATGGAATTTATAAATAAGCAAGTCGAACAGAATGCACCAAAAGCGAAAAGTGTCGAATACACCGAATTGAAACGTGAAAATGAAGATGAAAAAATTACACTGGCCATCAAAGCGAATAAAGTAAAAACCGATTTACCGAGCACAAGTGGTTTGAAAAAAATCCAAACGAACGAACGAAAAGATGATTCGGATATATTTTTGAAGCCAAGCACAAGTAAAATGCCAATTAGTAAAAAAGATGATAGCCGTAAACGTAGTGCTCTCGATGAAATTATGAAAATGGAAGAAACCAAGAAGGAAAAACTTAATCGCAAAGATTATTGGTTGGCTGAAGGCATTGTGGTGAAAATTATCACCAAATCATTGGGCGAGAAATTTTACAAACAAAAAGGTGTTGTATTGGAAGTAATCGATAGATATGCGGGTAAAATAAAACTTTTGGAATCGGGCGATAAAGTGAAGTTGGATCAGGCACATTGTGAAACGGTCATTCCGGTCGCTGGTAAATTGGTTCGAGTGCTGAATGGTGGATATCGAGGTCATAAGGCTTATTTGAGGAAAATCGATGTAGACAACTTTTGCGTTAGTATTGAAATCGCTGCAGGGCCGCTCAAAGGTCGAATCGTTCAAAATGTTCAATACGAAGATATAAGCAAGTTGTACACAGACTAATCATTTCGCACTAGGATTTCTTGTAAAAGTTGAGTTTAAACCGAAGACAATGTCCAATTATATAGGTGACTATTATAAGTCAAGAGAAGAAAATGATTATTAATTAGTTTGCGATGATCTTAATTATAGTAAATAAATGCATATCTTTTTTATGTAATGCCAAACGCGTTTTTCTTTAATCATTTTGGGTTTTAACAAAAAAAAATTGGTTTCTCAAAGATTTATGATAATTTTTATCAATAAATTGTCATCTTTTGAATATGGACCGGATAATATGGCGCTGTTTGGTACTCGAAATCCATCGTTTGTATTTGCAAATTCATTGGATATTAAGTCACTTGTCGGAGTCACCTATATGTAACGGTATATCAATCGTTCTTTTTTAGATTAAATGTTCAAAATATTTTCAAGCCAAAATCAAACTTACTTGATTAAGAATGGCAATTTTATGTTTGAATGTCACTTTCGTTTCGATTTTTGTGAATATATCACCTGTTTTCAATATGATATTCGATTTATCCGTGCCCTTTTCCACTGAAACTTGTTCCAATTGTAAATGTAAGAAGTCTCCAAGATAGTTCATTGTAGCTGTAACACGTAAAAAAAGACCTGAAATTGAGAATATGGGACTACTTATGGTTGTAACATTTGATTTCAGTTTCACTGAAAATTCTTCGATTTTCCAATAATATGTGAAAATATGCAAATCGTCTCCCGTTTGAATGGTATTATTCAATTTATTAATTTCAAACTCTCGCGGTCCCGTTTTGATCCTGTAAAAAATCGAAATTTAGCGTGCAAAAAAGTGTTCAAAATTGTCTATTTATACTTTTGGTATGGTTTTTTGCGTTCGTTTGTTTTTTTCTGAACCGGTTTGAATTCCAAATGTTTTTCGTTGGTAAAATTTGTTGGTTCCGTCGTTTCGTTTATGGTCGTTGACTTTTTAATCGGGGCATCTGTTGAATTGTCCACGTTCGACAATACGGCAAATGGACTTTCGTTTTGAATTTGATCCAATTGGGAACTTGTTTCTGGGTCATCAGTGGTCTTTTCGGGTTGTACAGCAACTTGTGTTGATTTAACCACATTTGATAAATTCGATTGCGGGTGTATAGATGGTAATGGTTGATATAGCTGAGGTTGTGGCTGTGCAAAATATTGCTGCTGGTACAACGGTGGCAATAGCAAATTGATTAAAGCACGCAAATGATTTATTTCACTGAGCAAACGATATTCCAAATTTCCAAATGCTCGGCTCAGATGATCTACAGATTGTATACGCAATGAATGAAGACCTTCTATTTTGGAGTATATTATAAAAATTACCTGTCGCACAGAATCCTTCGAGTTTTCGCGAAACGCTCGCCTCAGCACTGGCTCGAACATCTCCCGAAATTAATGTGCACTCAGCACGCTGTGTTTCAATCGGATTATAACCGACATTTTCTACAAACATTCATTGTAAAAAAAAAATTGAATGAAAAAAAATATGATTGAATCCAATTCGTAAATTGCTTGAATTTTTTTTAGTTAATTATAGTTTTCCATTCTCTAAATTCATAGTATCATCGGCCTTCAGTCAAAATGTTGTGATTTATCTTTCGAATTTGTAATTGAAACTATCTAGATTTTTGGATGAATGAAGACGAAAAAGAAACGAGCAGTAGATAAAAAAAACGAATAGCGGAAATCTGAAGTGGTTTTGTCAGCTAAAAATAGTAGAATACGATACGAGTAGAAATAAAACAGACAATTATGCACGCCTTCTCATTAAAACCACACGCAAAATAATATATCACTTGCGTTGAATTCAATTTAAAAATGCCTCTTTATTTTATAAACCACGATTCATAAACGAAATGACACTTTGTAATATTCACTTCTTGTCCACGTAATTAATAGTAACGTCGGTTGGTTCGATACCCCGATACATGACAAAATTCGTATAAAAGTCAACCAAATAATTCGTGTTTAATTTGCTGTTTATTCAAATCAAAATAGTTCTAACTATTCAAAATTTACCTGAATTTTCCGACCATACGGTATGAACAAGCGACGATAAATAAATGTAGAGTAGAATAATCGTTATGAGGTCCAGTTTAATCATAGCAAAAATGAATATGCGTTTATAAAATCTTTTGAGTTTGTTTTAGAAAATGTATTTTCTCATTGGTTTTTTGCGCTGCCAGTAAATGTGTTCTTTACCGTTGACTTGTTCAAAAGTACTGAGCCAAACTCTAAAATCCACATTCAGCCGAAGCTCTTAGATCTCAGTCAAACGTATCATCAACATTCATCGTAGTGTGCTGGTTTAGTTGCAATGTTCCATTAAGCGGTGATTTTTCGGGTTTGAATCTGTTTATTTTTACTAGAGGAAAATTGATTGTACGGAAAAGCGAGTACAAAGTATACTTACAGCGAGCAACGGAACAGCATAAACCGACATATATAATTATGAAACACGAGATCAAATTTCAAGAGACGGTGCACGGCTATCAAATTATGACTTTGTTCATAAACAGCATGCCTCTCATTTGTGGCGATATAATTAATTAAAGATACCATTGGAGTTTCACAAGCTAAATTGTATGAATGAAAAACATAAAAGTCATTTTTCGACATTTTTTTTTTCGAATTAAAAAAGTTTTTGTTTTGTTTTTGATTTTTTTTTTCTTTTTGTTTGTGTTGTTTTTATTTTCTTTTTATTGGTTTTAATTGCGTTGATATAGGTATGTATCTGTTAATCAACTATGTGAAAAAAAAATTTCTCATTCTAAAATACAAGACTCAAGTGTAATTTCAACGAAAAAAAAAATTGGAAAATTAAAAGTTTAAAAATAGATTTAAAAAAAATAATAATAATAATATATATTGTAAAGAAAATCTATATTCATACGATTATTTTCGTCTGCTGGAATCTGAGGCCGTCGGCGGTGGAGGCGGGCCACGTTTATGCAATTCTTCTAAGTAGTTCATCAAAATATGCGAACGGTCGTATTGAATATGATCCAATGTTAGAAACCTGAAAGATTCAAACAAAATTTATGTATCGAAACATATTTGATTTAAAGAAAAAATAGTTTTGTTTGCCATACCGTTTATCATTTTTCAAAATGTCTTCAATTTCCTTAAGATGCAGTGGATTTTCCTTGACTGTTTCAAAACTTTTGTACGTAATTAATTTGCATTCCTGTAGCAGTTCTTTGAATGCATTTTTGGCTTCGGTTGTCTTATCGCGTACGTATTCCCTGAATTCACGTTCACATTTTTCACTACTGTTATACTTTAAGTAGCGTGGATCGTCACGAATTTGCTTCTTTACATCTTTCCATGATGCGGTCAAATCCAATGTGAGTTCATCAAGCATTTCACGGAATTTGTCACGTTTCTTTTCACCCAATTGAAAGATGTGATCGTTGAAAATACGTTCGCGATTCTCACGATCCAGCTGTTCAACGGATTCCCAACGACTATCTTTACGCAATAGTTTTTTTACCTCTTTCCACGTGAGATCTGGATTACGCACCAAATCGGCAAGCAACGCATTAAAATGTCGAATTGCTTCGTCACGTTTGTGATGTTCACGTTCCTTGTGCAAATTTCGCATGTGGCCGGCCAATTGTTGTTGCACCTCCTTCTCACGTTCCACAATTGCACGCATTTGCCGGTCACGCTCCTTCTGATGTTTGTCCGATTCATCTTCTGACGTTGACGATTGATGTTCACCATCCTCCTGAAATAAAAAAAACCATTTTCCAATTTAAAACAAGTGTTAAGAAATCAGATGCAATCAATTCATTACCTGATCGTCTTTGTCAGATTCGTTACGACTGGCTTTTTCCTCATCTTTGCTGGTATTTTGTTTTTTACCTTTTTCTTCTTTACCTTTTTCACGACGATCCTTATCGCGATGCTTGTCTTTATCCTTTTCCTTTTCCTTGTCCTTTTCTCGATCCTTTTTGTCTTTGCGATCACGTTCTTTCTCCTTCTGCTTTCGCTTTTCTTCCTTCAAGATTTTGCAGTGATCATGAAAATAGTCCTCACGTAACAAGGAACTTTCAACAGCTCGATACCTTTTGTCGCCATCGATGAGCTTCTTTACATCCGCCCAACGGCTGTGACGCGTTATTTCACTGCATTCCCGCAACAATGCTAGAAAATCCTTACGAATCTACATGTGTTTTTTTTTTTGGATTTGATTGATTGATTTTTTGTTTGAAATTTGGGAACATTTACGATTGGCCCCCACAATAAAACATAACATGAGTTTTTTTTTGTTTGAATATGTGAATGTGTTGAGAGACAAACCATTCGTTTACAAGAGGGTGTATGCAGCGCGGTTGATGAGAAGAGAAAAATAACAGAGAAAAACATAGAAAAAATAAATGGTATTAGTAATGCATTGAAATGGTTGTGGCATTGAAATGTTGCAATTTAAATAAAATTCAATTCTAAAAATCTAAAGAAAAATATTCTGCTTATAAATTAACTTATATGTATTGATTGAAGTGAGTGTTTATAATTTTTTTTTATATAGAAAAAATATCAATTGTTCGAAACTCAATTAGAACAATTATTATTGTTTGTTTTTTTAAAAAAAATATATAAATATTATATTGTTTCGATTATTTTCTCTCGTTAGCTGAAAAATTAGAGAAAAGAAGTATTAAAAATGCTGAAATTAAAGGGTTTTTGATTAAAACATTACTAAGGTTCCTTTGATTAACTCAAAGTAAGTTGTTTCTTTATGTATTTGTATGTGTGTGTGCTTCTCTCTCTGTGTGTCTTGAATGTTTGTCTCTTGTATTCAGTTCATTTGGCTTTTTGAAAAGAATACATTGGTTGATTGGTACATACGATTATTATGTTCGTCAACAGGATGTACGGACAAACAGGATAATCTATTGATAACTGACATAAAAGTCGATATGCATTCGGTAAACTTTTATTTCAACCGCACAGCTATGAGAAATACGATTGATTTTTTTGATCGAATCGTCGCTTCTGTCTATTCTTCACTATATGCCTATACGATTTAAATTTGATTTGAAATAATTTTTTTGTTTGTTTAACTATTAATGCTTGATGGATTCGCTAAATTAAGCGAAACCAAAACAAATACCATGGATATTGTATTGGGTTATTTGTGGATGTGTGCGTGTATATATTATTGTGTGTGTGTACGTTCAACATTTTGGGAAACCATCGGCTCATGATGATGGGGTTCGGGTGCCTGCAGCACGATGCATACAAAATCAACAATCAGATGCCAATATTATATGTTTTTTCAAAACAATTTCACATTTTCTTTTCTTCTCTTCCTTTGCACACTCCTTTGCGTTGCTTTTTGAGGGCCAGTAACATTTAATTTAACTAACTATCATATCTAAAGCTCACTGTTTCTCATCTTGAAACGTTATCGAGTCTGTTTATTATTTATTCACTATATTTCATCCATGGATAAATATACAAATGTCACCGTTTTTCTACAATTTTTTTTTTTTGTAAATTCGGAAATAAAATATCGTCTATCAATGAAAAAATTTGGACCGTACCCAGTTAATAGCACTCACGAATTTAAAAATGATCTACACAATGCGGCCAAGTCTTGAAAATTTCTTCTTTTTTTCAATTTTTTGGACTTTTTTTTATAAAAATTCCGCTCATTGTCAAAAAAAAAAGCAAAAATACACTCACATGTTTCTCACAAAATGATCACTTGCGCATTCATGGCCAATGAATAAATTCAATATAATGTTTTTTTTTTTTGGTTTATATGAAATTGCCTTAAGAATTGTTTTGATTCTGTTTAATTTATGAATTTTGGATTATTTGCATTTAGATATATATAGATATATATATATTTTAACTAATAACGGTGTTTTTTTTTTTGAAAACAAAAAAAAGATAGCAATATATATAAAATAAACGAATGTCAATTTGTTTTGGTTACTAACCGTTTCTTTCTTCTGGATTTTTTCATCTTTTTCGCGACGACGCACTTCCAAAATGAATTCGTTGAATATTGATTCGCGATCACGCATCTTCTCTATGCCCTTGAAACGTTCATCTTTGCCAAACTTCTGCGCGAAATCAGAAAACGATGATCTGAAAATGAAACATTGATTTTATAATTGGCATCGTTTAACTCCATCGTTGAGCTACTTACTTTCCATGGAGATTTGCCGATTCCATAAGTGAACGGAAATCATCACGTTTCTGTCTCATTTTATTTCTCTTTTCGCGTCGTTCTTCTTCGGCCCGTTCCTTGACATATTTTTCAAATACTTGTTTTCGTTCACGAGACGTTAAGAGCAAATAACGTGGATCAAAAACAATTTTATGCAATTCTTTTTCCCAAGTACTAAAGGCAGATACCTATAGAAATAATTGATGATTAAATGAATGCAAATCTCCCTCCGCGGTCTCTTCGTGTTCACTTACATCTTTTTCTTTTAACATATCTTTGAATTGTTTAACACGTGTTTCAAGTGGTACAAGTGCACGTTCTCGGGCAGCACGAACTTCAGCTTCGATGGCCGCCTCTTTGCCCATATCGTTCTTTTTGTCAGTGACCGGTTTTGTCGGGGTCGCTGTAGCCGGTACGGCAGTGGTTGGTGGCGTATTTGTACTTTCTAACGATGTTTCAGCTAATTTAGGCTTTTTATTTGGTACCTCGTTTTCGGTACTCGACTCGGATTCGGAACGCTTTGTTGCTATTGTTGTATCTTCTGCAGTGGTTGCTGCAGCTGTTGTTGCTGCCGCTGCGTTAGGTGCTACGATAAATCAATCATGATAATTTGAATTTTGACATTGTAATTAAATTATTTGAAATATCATCATTCAGAGTATAGAGCACGATGTTCAAAATTACTCAATGGACAAAAATATTTACTTTGAACGTGCTGTATGATGTAGGTAAATTGTAAAATTGACTTATGAGATTGATTTTAGAAAACTTACCGTTAGCTGGAGTCGCTGCTACAGCTTTGTCAACATCGGCTCTGCCAACTAGGTCTTCTGGTCGTTCCCATACCGATGTTCGTGTTGATGGATTGTAGAAAAAAACACGACCATCACCAGTCCATACAACGCACCAAGGTGTGCCCGCTATTGGTGTCGATGATATTGGTCGACTCTTGTCTTGCGGTTTAGTTGATGTTTGTTTGGCTTTTTCTTCGTCTTCTTTCTTCTTTTTAGCGGCCGCTTCTTCTTTCTTCTTCTTTTCCATTTTTGACTCTTCGCTTTCGTCAGGTTTCTTATCAGATTTAAAATTCATTGCATCAAATGGCACATTCGAGACAATTTGTTGTGGATGCATTGATGGATTTACAATCGGTGGCATCATTCCTGGTGCACCCATAGGCGGGAATGGTTGTGGATGACCAGTCATGCGAGCAGCTATTTATCAAAATTAAATGAACATTCATCACATCAATTTTAGTTTTGTTTTACAGAATTGAAATGGAAGAAATTGAACACAAAGAGTGTGTTTCAAGGTAAAAAAAATCCATAATTATTAACATGAACTATACGTAGTGGTGTCAACGTATTTTACCTTCTAAGTCTTTTAATGCTTGCGGTTTTTCCCACACGCTTTCACCCCGAATGGCATGATAATAATATGGTCGACCGTCGGGAGCTCGATGTTCACTCCATTCTGCTGCACGTGCCATTATCTACAAATTTCCCATCGGAATTGAGTTTATTTATCGTCTTTGATATCAACACAAAATTAATTAAAAAATTTTTTACCTGTGGATCGATTCGTGATTTATCGTTTCCCATTTGTGGCATTGGCTGTTGCCAGGGCATTGACCATGGATTCGGTGGATACATATAATTTGGCGGTGGCATACCGAATCCGAACGGTGGCGGTGTATTGAATTGTGTTTGCATTTGTGCTGGCGGTGCTTGATTTTGCATTGGCATATTCATCAATGGCTGAGCGGTATTTTGGTGATTCTGTGCTGGTGAAGGTTGTGATGCCGGCTGATTTGACGTGGGTGCATCGATTTTAGCTGGTTCATTTGTGGCTGGATTTGATCCAGCCGATGCGTCCACATTTCCATTCGATTCAGTTTTATTTTCACCATTTAATTGAACACTCTCTGTTGGTTCGGTATTTTCAGCATTTGATTGACTTTCACCCGTGACCGGTACACTTTCTGATGGATTCGATGCAGCCGATTGAGCATCAGCCTTTTGTTGCTAATTAAATGAATTTTTGCTTTGAATTAATAGAACTTGTTACAAATTAATTCACCGTAATACTTACATCTTGTGGTGCCTGTTGTTGTTGTTGCATTTTGGCTGCTTGCATTGCTTCAACTTCGCTCTGACCCATTATTTTTACAAATTGGCCTTCTGGACGTGTCCACGTTGTTTCACGACTTATTGCATTATAATAGTACGATTTGCCTTCATCGGTTTTAGTCTCGACCCATAATTCAACTTGATTGAAATTATTTCTCTGAAATCCATATGAATCGAATACATCGCTAAGTGAAAAAAAATCTCGGTCGTTATTCATATCAATTGTACAAACCTGATGAAATGGTGCATTTGACTGGTCATTTTGTTGATTTCCGAAACCCATGTGTGAATTATTGCCATACATTTGTGGTCCATTATTCCAATTTGGATCAAAGTTACCGGAATTCTGAAATCTTGGTGCACCCGCACGATTGCCGCGAAAGAATTGTGGTCCGCCACGGCCACGTATTTGTTGACCCATTTGATTTGGTGCAAATCCTCGACCTCTGAATCGCGGCGATATTGCACCGGGATTTCCTTGATATCGGCCTCTGAAATGTCAATTAAATAAACATCAGTGCTTTTTTTCTTCTTCTTTATATGGTTAAGAACTGTCATAAAATTTAGCAACAACAACAAATTGCTTTGATGTAAATTTTATGGTACAAATTTTATCAGTGCCAGCTGAATAATGGGGAAAATAAGAACAAAATATAAATATTTATAATTTTTATTTCTTACCTGAATCCACCACGATTGACTGATTGAAAACGTTGTTCGAAACCCTCATCATTTTCGGCATTATCAAATTCAGACCCTTGTGCCGAATCATCGTAAAATTCATCGTCCGTTTTCATATTTTTTTCCGATGGATCCATATTTATGGCGGAATCAACCGTTGTAGCGCCTTCGTTGCTATTTGTTTCCATGGTATTAATTGATGCAAAAAAAATTTGTGTGTGTCGCGTCTTTCATGCCCTGGTATATTTCACAAACTAACATACAAAATGTATTCTCATCTGTCAAATTAGAAGAATGGCGGTTGGGCAAACCGCATACAAATGTCAAAAAAGTCCCATCGAATTCGCCACACATACAGTATGCATTAGCAATGCTTATGTGCATTGTTTTTGTATTGAATTTTAAGGGACAGAAAATGTTTTGTTCGTCATATTTTAAATGAAACGACGTTGAGTGTTTATTTTGAAAAAAGAATGCAATTTATATTTATTGCCTTTTATTTTTTGAAGAATTCTAACCCAATAAACACAAACTGGCAGAAATGTGTGTGTGCTGATTTTGTGCACACACACATTTTTGGGTGAAAATGCATTACACTTGGTTTATTGGGAAAGTGAATGAATTATTTTTTTTGAAGATTTAATTTGGACAATTTTTCTTCCAATTGCTGAATTTTAGCTAAATGAGCTTGTTCCTTTTCCTCGT